ATCAATAATTTAATCGTAATATCAAATATTGATAATAGCTAATTTATCAATCGAATATTTTTCAATTTTTATTAATGAATATAATTGTACGATTCACAACTTAGCAAAAAGTGTGAGAAAATTATACTTTCACCTATATTCTTTATTAGAAACGAATAAAGGTAAATAACCTGTTGCTACTACACTATTTCTTTTCGATGTTCTAATGCCAGAAAATCGATTTGTTTGTCAAAATATTATCACATTATTGTTAATTATTTGAAAAGATTTTATCCTTATTTGACATTATTAATTTCTTTTTTAAAAAACAGTTATTGGAACATAACTAATAAAAATTGAAATAATGAGATGATTTAAAATAATAATTTTATCATAAGCACTGTTCTATTTTAACTATAAATAAGGATATATAATTTTAGGATTATAATTTTTTAAAAGTACAACGAATTAAAAAATTATTTCAAAGATCACTAAAATGATAATAATTTATATAAAAAATACATAAAAATATACAAATATATTTCAATTATCGTCATTCTAACAGTATGTTTCACTTATGACAGCCAAGAACAAGTACCTACTGAAGCTATCATTGCACACGAACCGCAAGTTATACGATCGTGAAATTTGAACTAATAATAGAGAACACTATCAATTACACAACTCAATAGAAAAGATTCTCGTAATGTCGTCAATGTCAGAAAACAAGAAATATTCTAAGGGTTTTTTTCTTTTCTTACTTAAAGATATACATATTACTAACTACATGGTGCAGCATGTTTCAATTACAAACTCGGGTTACAAAGATGTTTTGGTGCGGAAATTAGAGCGCCTACGTTACAAAGTGCTGATATTTTAACAGACGCACTTATGATATGAGTTTAAAAGAACGTAGAAAAAAATTATCTTATTGTTAGATCTGAAATTGAACTAATCCAAAAGTTATCAAAGGTGATGCTATAATTATTAAAGAAATTAAGAAGATATTACAAAATATAATAAATAATACAAATAAAGGTAATTACAGATTACAGCTACAATTTTAATTAGAGAAAATTTCAAAAAAATAAGTAAAAATGCCAATCTTGTAGAAATAGAGTATCCATATCTCCTGTTATTCTACAAAGTATCAAAAAGATTTACTAAAGCGTAGTAATAATAAAAGTTGTGTGACTCAATTAATAAATTATATCGTCAAAATCATTGTATATGAAGCTAAAACGAATGCTTAAAATTACAGTAAAAAAAAATATTTAAAAGATGAAATTGTATATAAAGTACTACAACACTTTTATAACCAACTGTACATTCAATAGAACCAAAAGAGATAAATAAATTCTTCTCGTTAGAGTAACGTTAAAAACTCGATGTTGTTTCTTCCAAGATTTCTCAAAGCCCGCGAAGGGAAAAAGCGCACGGATCCGAAAGAGGGAGAGAATAGCGTTAAGAACAAGAGATTAGCTCGATCGGTAAGAAAGGAAGAAAAAAAAATGGGAGCTACTACCTTTCACTACGGCACTCTCCGAGTAACAGACCGCGGAAACTTTTTGCTTTCGCTTACGATTCCCCTCTCGAAAACCGCAATTGGTAACACGGTTCCGCGTTCGTTCCGCAACGACAACTTCCCACATGTTATCGAATCTTCAACATGTGTCTTGCACTGTTCACGCAGCCACGCGCCGCCATCACGGTTTTCTGCATTGCTGCAGAATTTCTAGGTTAGGTGTCACGTCCATTGAAGCAAATAAAGATTTAAGCGATCAAGATTGTTTCTTTTGACTATTTGTCAATCAATCTTTGATATCTTATTAATGAGATCGTGATATCGATTATTTCTTATTTAATAAGACTCGCATGTTTGCTCGATGTTACATGTACACAATATGTAACTCAATACTTTAGTTAGATATTAAATAACTTAATAATAAATGCATCCTTTTTCGAAAACAAGTCTCAAATTTTTCTATATGTTTTCTACATTTTTCTTAAGAAGTTAGATCCTGAAAAAACTATAGGAAGTTATGATACAGTTTTACTTTACTAGAAAAAGTAATTTTGGTTACATATCTAGCTCCCAATAACTTTATGTGTTTTCAAAAATAGAGGAATAATTAAAAGAAAGAAATTTTGATGATATTATTACAACGTCAAGAGTGATATATGTAATATCAAATTTCAAAATTATTTTGAAAAGTAGATAGTAGATCGGTGTATAACTTCCCAAGGAGAATATTTTAAAAGTAATATAGTGACATTCAACAAAAAAATATTTTATATTAATTTTAATATAAAAATATCGGAATGAACTCGAATGATTAAAAAATGGTAAGGTTGAATAATTGCAATTTAGATAAAACGATCCTATTGGAACTTAAGCGATTACTTTTTAAATAGCGCTTACACAACGAGATTTATGTCGAGACATGTCTCGAGACAAGATCTTACATAAAACGACATAATTAGCAATGAGATACATGTGCATTAACTAAGTTCATCAGAGACGAGAGATAAAAAAGCATTGAATTTCGAGCCAGAATTTTGATAAACACTAACATATATATTTCTCAAGTATAAACGAGAATTTATCTTACAAAAAATAAAACACCATGTAAAAAATTAATTCAGCATAAATATCCATCGGAAAACAATCTTATCACAGGTTCAAAAAACGGCATAGGGAATCAAATAGATAAGATCGAAATCCTGATGGATCCGCACGATGATAACGATCAGAAGTGAGTGAAAAAAAAAAAAAAGGTAATCAATGAATCTTACTTTTTCTTCCACGTTAAAATATCACAAATTATCACAAACTTTCTTTCTTTCATTCTGCCTGTTCATTATCAATCGTCTCGTTTGCGTGAGCCAATTGGCATGTGCGTACAATCTAAACACATAAAAGTGTGAATATGCGCTCAGAATATGCGATTAGCGGACACTCCACGTCCAAGGAGATCCTGTCCCATGTAATATGGGTACACAGTGCCGGTGTAATTTAGCCTTGACTGTCGATTACTACTAGCCGCGTGTTGCGGCACACCACGCTACACCGATTACGTCGTCATCTACTATACGTCTCGTCTGGAAAACGATCTTTTGCGATCGTACGCTCAATTAGATAAAGTTTTTATTATACCCGAAAGCCGAAAACTCGATAATTCAATTTTGGATCTAATTCGAAGATAATTTAGTGACGAAATTATTAAAGGATCAAGTATAAAAATTACCAGTTATTCGTGTAATAGATTGCAGTATTTTTACATATTTATGGATGGTTTATTGATATTGAATATCAATGCATGTGCAAAATGCACAACATGGTATGCAAAAAGTCATAATATATTAAAAATAAATGTTGTTTAAGTAAAGTATTATGATGGAACATATTTCTATTTAAGTTCTATTTTTCTAGTTGTATTTGTAAAAAAAATTCAATTTGCATATTTATATCCTCGGTCTGGCTCGAGTTAGGAACGAATGAACGTGATTAATTGAAAAAAAAAATCATTGATTAATTAACTTTTGAATTTTCAAAGATTGGCATATCATAATTTAAGAAATACAATTATATGCATGTGTATAACTGTTTGTTAATTAAACAAGCAAATTATTGAAGAGATTGCAAGCTTTAAATTTATATCCATTGTAATAAGATATCACTTTCATTGATAGCTTGTTGTCATTAACTTCTGAATTACCTAAATTTAATTTTATACATCGCACGTGTTATTCACGTAGCTAAAAATAGAGAGAACGACACAGCTATTTGGATCATTTGAATCAAACACTGTTTATCATTTGTTACTACAAATATTATATTCAAGTATTAATATTAAAAATAAAGAAAAACACACTTCTCAAATTATCTTCCTTGAAAATAATCTAATTGAACAATTTTCGTGTTTATTAAACCCTATTACTGATAAAACTACAGATATAATTCATAAAATATGTTACACTACTACTATTAATCATTATAGATCTTTTATTAATATTCTTTATACTATTTTAAAAAAGAATCATGTGACCTATTATTCCTTTAAAAAAAAAATCCAGAATGTTTCCTAAATTATAGCCAGAAAATAATCGTGTGAAGAATTTTATTTTTCAACGAGCAACCTCCCTTGAGAAGCTCATCAAACTCTGAATTTTTAAGTCACCATCTTTTCTAAATAGTGAACTTGTAACTTCATCCATGTTATATATATATATATATATAACTTCAGCCTATATAAAAAATGATGAATCACTTCATTCACAGAAATTTCTTTGTACGAGAATCCAAATACTAGAAAATATAGATAGTCAAAATATTCATCCCGACGTTCTCTGTAAAATCAATAAATAATCAATAACTAAATAAAATGATCGCAACTATATAAAAACGCCCCTGGAATAAGATGAGACCAGAAAAGCACGCTCAACCCTTTTACCTCCTCTAACAACCGCTACAACTCAACAACGCTACCAATAACCAACAAACTTGCAATAACAAATAACGAAATAGCCAAGTAATTAATCCACTATTTAACCGATAAATAGATAAATTATCGAAACGAATAAATAAACAAATAAATAAAAAGAACGCAATGAATGAATACAAGATAGAGATAGATGGGGTTGTTGGACGATTGGCGAATAACGACGAAACGTTTCCATGGACCACCCGCATCCCACGTTCTACCTATCAAACGAGAAAAAAAAATAAAAAGGAAGGAGAAGCGGGATGATGAAATATCGCAAAAAAAAAAAAAAAGAAAAGAAAGAAACAATAGAAAACGGGGCGAAAAAGAAGAAGGGGTTAATGGACTTACGCGACGATGCTCTTAGACAGAGGCCACCGATCCATTTCAACTTGGTACTTCATGTTCTCGATCTGCTTCTTCAGTGCGTCCTTGTCCATGTTGGCGAGTACACTGGGATCCATGGTTATAGCCGCGCCTCCCTTTTCCCAGATAACAGCCGAATAGCGCTTGCGCCTCTACGAAAAATCAATAGAACCGACTATGTATGGGGACTCCTGTTATTGGAACGCCAAACCTACGTCACTCACTGGCAACAGGAAATTCGATTCTGCGAGGAAAAGTGTACGTACTTTTCCCTCATCGCGACCTCCGCAAAAAGATTACCGAGATTATGGATCTCGTTTTTGTCTCGCGTGCACGTGATACTAGGGATTGATACCGTTGTTCCCTTATTTGCGTCAATTTTTTCTAGGCTTATATTTCACGGATATATCGATGTTCGAGAGATTTTTTTTTTTTTGCGGATCAACGACGGGACGTTCGTTGATTTGAAAATCTTGAAATTCGGAAAAAAAAAGAAATTGGCAATAATCGGTATATAAATTTGTTTATAGTGATTACCTTGGTTGATTGCTGATTCCTGAGGAAATATCATTAATTTCTTGAATCGTGTTTTATTAACGAGCTTGAAATTTACGAGAGGAAATTGGTGTGAAATAATTTGTTTGTAATGATTATTTCATAAATCGATATTTTGGACTGCTCGGATGGAGTTTATCGATTATGCACGTGTTGAAGAATCCTATCTGATCGATTAAGATTAAGAAGTACAACTTTTTGGTAATAATGATTATTTTTCTTAATTTTATCAAGAGTTAGACTGCATCCGATATTGTACATCTGAAGAAACATTAATTTTGGATTCATTGTTCTTTTAATTTTAAAATTATTAGAAGTATGGATAAATATGAGGAAATTGTCAGTGTTTAACATTTAGGAAGGGAAAACTGGATATTCGAAATAAAACTAGGATAATATTATTATTTTTAAAATTATCGTTGAAAGCTCTACGCGAAAAAAATAATTATTTTCTAAATACTTGTACTTCTGCTCATTGATGAGTTGCTTTTAAGTACTTTCAATCAAGAACCTTTTAACGCTTGCAACGGAAGCAACGAACTTTGAATCTTAACGAGTAGCATGTGGAGGAACGAACACAATGTGCATGTCCATAATAAATTTCTAACACTCATTATTGTTTCACGCTTCGTCTTTTTTTTGTTTTTAATATATTTATTCTTCTCTCTCTCTCTCT